ATAATAAAATTTTTTTAAAAAAATTAAATACTGCAAAGTATCACATAAATATTCTAAATTTATTATGCAGATCTTTGCCAAAAACTGCTAAAAAAATGAGATGCAATATGTAAGTAGTGATCCAGAATCCAAATAAAACATTAATTTTCATTGAAACTATCATTATAACACAAGATGATTAAATCTACAAAGGCTTTTTTTATGTATTGTTGCAATAATATCTTGAGTTTTTTTTATAAATTCTTTATATCTATGTCCTTATATAATGTGATACAAAGGAGGAGCACACTTATTCTCCAGTATTTATGCTAAAAAAAAACCTTTTTTAATGTTTTTGATTTCAATAGCACTATGATCTAAAAGTATAAACAAGTTTACAATTATTAAAATTGAGACTTAAAATTAACACACAACTATCTTTATTAGATTAAGAAAATTTTTTATTAATTAGTTTATATTAAAATATTATATTTTACTTTCATCTATTCACTGATACCAAATACCTATTTTTTATTTAAAAATGTTATAACTTCTTTATCTAACAAAGCAGAAACATGTCTATAGGATTTATACTTCTTAACAATTCTAAATACATCAGAGCCATTATATCCTAAACTATATATAAAGATATAATGAAAAAACTTCTGAAAATAGACTTGAACATGCTTGATAAGAATATTGTTCAAAATCTCTAGAACTTTTTTCTTTGATGAGGCAAATTTGTAATTGCAGCTTGCTTGGGCTTTCTGTTTTGCCTCTTTCCAAATCTACTAAATGAAATTACATTTACAATAAAACTTAAAATATAGCAAAAACTTGTGCTTGCCAATTGCTTCCACAAATTGCTACAATTGTGTTTTCTCAACCAAAAAGTCTGATTGGGCTGCAATGTGGTGCCAGGCATAGCATACAGAAAAAGAATTAATTCCAAACAAGATAAATAGTGCTTCAACTTTATTATAATCGCAATTACTGTCTGAATTCTCATTCTCTTTGGATTTTTTTTTTTGTACATATAAGATATAGATCATTGATCTATAAAATTTGTTTTTGTAATATGGGTGCAATCCTTTTGCCTTATCATTTTTATCTTACATATCTTAACCGATCTTTAGTTTATTTTGAATAAATCATATTGTATGACACATCTGCTGCTTATCTTCTCCGCTAAGGTTCAACTTTGTGGAAATTAAAGCATCACTTGTATAGGCATTATGATTAAATAATTGATCAAAGCAAAATATATCTTTGTAGTTGAAATAAATATGTTTAAAAAAGTGAATTGCTTTTTGTACTAACTGGTCGACCATGTCGTCACTCTTCCATTAGCCATTTCAAGATGTTTCCAGATTAATAATAACTTTAGCTCTTATTGAAAAATTCAACTTTTTGTTTTTGTTATTACTAATATATAATGCTTCATGTAAGGTTTCAAAAAAGTACTGAATTGGTATCGAACTGGTATCAAAATGGTTCCAATTTATAGTAAATTTAATATATGAATTGTGACCTACTTATATGTTTTTATAGTAAATTGAAGTATTGAACTAGTATCAAAGTAATATCAAAATAGTATCATTAGGAGCCTTAGCTTTATAGCATGAACATATGAAATCAGAAATCATTAAGACTTAATCTTGGCTCTTTTTCTTAATATGCATTTTCCTCTTCATGAGTCATGCATTAGATTGGTTATCAAAGATATAAAAGTATGTCTTATTATAAGTGACCAGAACATGTTCTATAGATTTAATAAGTGAATTTAGGATTGGTTTTATTATTAATTTCTCATTTTTCAGTTCAAATGTCTTCATGAAATAAGCATAATGCATTATTTTTGCTATAAATATTTGGTGATATATTATAATATCCTCTTGTTCATACCTATTATAATAAACGTCTTGTCCATTCCTGCAAAATGCATAACCTCATTTTTGCATATATCGAATTACAGTGAACTTTGAAATATAATGATTATTGATATTGAGATATTATGGAATAACCTTGTCACAAAGAAAGACTTACAATAGTAACGATTTTCAGTTTTTAAATTTTGTATTATAAAATTACTTCAAGTATATTATTTCAATATCTTCATTTATGAGCAATAAAGTATACTTGGCATGCTTGCCTTGGAATCTTGGAGGAAGTCAATTATGGAGAAGAAAGTAATCTGCCTATTTGTGTAGACAATGAGCAGCCAGCCCATTCATTCCTTCAAATTTTTTGCTTTTCAAGGATAGAAAGTACAATACAATTGCTGTTCTTGACTTTGCTCTTTTCATTTAGTATATTCATAACACATTCAAAAATAGTTAAAAGTACTTAAGAATAGATACTGACATTTTTGCTTATTGTGTAAAATACTGAGTTTCTCTTGTAGCAAAAAAAGCATTTTTTTCATATTACAGTTGATTTCATTTCTTTTTTCTTCACAATTATTATATAGTTCTGGTTCTTTATATTGATAAGAGACTATAGAATCAAAAAATACTATAATTGGCTTACACATTTCTATAATTTATGTACATTTCCTTTTTACTCTTCTTTTACATTTTATATTGCTTCGAAATCCACCATATATATCTTTTTTAGATAAGATCCAGTTGATTTTTCGCACTTCAAAAGTTTATAGTCATTCTCATGAATCAAGAAAACAAGTTCAATATCTGAAATTTCGACTTCACTTCTATTTAATTGCTTACTTTTACAAAGTGATAGTTGTAATACTAACTTTTTTAGCTTTTCTTGACTTCTTTTCATATTTTAAGACTTTTTGTTTCTAGTAAAGCATATAAAAATGATAAGTATGTGAGTATAAAATTGAATAAAAAGAAGTTATACAATATGTATACATATGGATAAGGCATTTTTGTAAAGTTATTAATAGTTTGTGTAGTGAAAAAGAAATTTTAATTGCATCTTGATTATTGATCCAATTATGTGACTTTAGATTTTAACCAATTGCAGGTCATAAATTTTATAACATATAATCTATAGTAGAGATCCAATTGTATATTATATTATATAAAAGAAAGTAATTTTAAAATATTATAACTTCATTAATATTTATTTAATTGTTAAAAAAAAAAAATAAGTTTTAATTCTTGGAAATAGTTTAAAACAACTTTTTTTTTGTGTTTGACTAGCTGGGTCTTGCCTATATATTCATTTATTTAATTCATGTATACTTTATATTATATATTATAAGAGAAAGCTACCTATGAACTATTCTAGATATCACTAGACTATATTGGATTTTACCCCATGCCGACTTGTTGCTATTGACTATAGATCTGAAGATCCATATACTGTATATTAAGGTTAATATACTAAAGCTTCATCAGTATCATTATTATATATAGAAGGTTTTATTTCTAATTGGAAATGTATTAAGAGAAAGTATGAAGAAAGGAACTGGGAGTAGTACCTATTAGGTGAATAGAATTCCTGCAGAGAAAATTCTTTTAAATCCGACCATCTGCAGATAGGCATACTATTTAATTTTCACCTTCCTAGAGTTACTCAAAAACATTTAAGGAGCTTATCTTATAGACTTACTATTTATAGATTTTTCAGCTATTGGTACTTACTACTGTTTTGGTTACCTTTTCAAGATAGATAATTGTTAGAGTGATCTATTATTGAATTGGAATAAGGCCTTTCTGGAAACTTATAGAAAGAGACACCAGGTATTATGAGGAGATGATCACCAAGCCATCTTACTTAAAGCAGACACTTTATACATCTTGCAACTTCTGACAATCATCATAACATCAACCAGATGATTGTCACATCATGACATCTTTTTTCTGAAAATCACAATCTTAACACCCATTGGATCAGCGTGTAAAATAGCTTCTCATGAGAAACAGTACTTGCACAGGTTATGGTATCAGATATCATATTAATTCTATTCAATCACTCTCACATGGAATTGAACTGGTATCTTGTAATTTGATTTATAAAGTGTTAACCACTATACTACAGATTCACAGGTCAGTTTAAAACAACTTGTTTAATAGTTTTTGTTTTTATGCAATACATAAAAAATCTTAGCATTTTTAAGTTTAAGTCTAAAAATATATGAGTTAAACTGATTGGAACAATACTACTGTTTGGAATGTATTGTTTATATTTGTTATCCTGAAGTATTAACTTATAATAAATTCAATACTGACTTGATACTAAAATAATACTATTAAAAACTCTAGATAAACCCATGGTCATATTTTAATAACAAGCTGATTTCCAGATTTAACATTTACAAAAATTAATTTTTTTAATTATGCTATTTTATTATTACAATTATTTATATAGTAAGTACATAGATCAGATTTAATATAATTAGTAACAAGAGTTTTTAAGTTTGTATATGTCACCTTAATTTTTGATAGGCTAGGATTAATTTACTTCTGTAAAGATTCTTAATGTATTGATAAATAACAAAAGTTTAATAAAAATCTTGCATTAAAATGCTTATCAAAAAAAAAAAAGGCTTGTTTATTGGTAAAAGTCACATCTTTTATTATATTATTTATTATATGATGTGATACATAACATAATAAAAAAAAATGTGACAATTACTAATGGAAAGTCAATTTGACAAATATTTTTTGTTGTAAAGATTAATAAACATATACTCTTGTTTTTTTGACTACAGAAAAAAAATATATATATATATATAGTATCTCGTAAACGTCTATTTCTCCCGAAAAGAGAATACTCTTCATACATGCGTCTATTATCAAAATTCTTTCTATTTCGAATTGAACATCTGATCTTACCGTGTAGCATTCTTAAAAGTGTATGTTTTACAGGATTAGCAGTGTCACGTATAAACCTTGTTTGCTTTTACGGAGTTTTTTTTTGGTATCTCCTTACGCATACACTTTTAGAAAATGATTTTCGATATAAATAGCATTACTTTAATAAAGAAATATGGGCGTAGTCTTACTAACTTAGACAGAAACGTTTTGCTTCTTGCAAAGGAATAAAGTATGACCCAAAATTATGATGACGTTAAGCAGGCAGGCCTTTCCATAGTTGACATATCAACCACGGTCCTGGTGGAGGCCGGTAATATAGTTCCTATTATTAGCATAATAACTTCCACGTTCCGTGAAATAATCGATTTAGCCGAAAAAGCTGGACATAACAAGAAAGTCTGCCGAAGGTTAGCGGAGCGTATACGTGTAGCGAACCAGACTGTAACACAACTGAAGTCAGAAGGGAATGATTTAGCCTTGCGAAGTTATGTCAAGGCATTAAAGAATGCCAAAGAGTTTATCATAAAGATTAGTAGAGCTAGTACTTTTATGAAATTGGTTACAGCTCACGAGGTAAATCCAGGTGGTTTTATGCTATTCTAGGAAATCAAAATTATAATTCAATTATGTGAGGCTGATTTTTTGGGTGTTTTTTTTTTAAAAATCCGGATGCCAGATTGAAAAGGACTACCAAGATGTCACCGAAGAGTTCGATAATGCAATCGCACAATTAGGTCTCACGCAATGCGTGAGAACGCGTCACGACATTGATGAGGATCGAAAACTATTCCTTTCCGAGATTAAAACGTCCTTATATGTTATCGAAGAAGTTATGAAGGATCTGTGGAAAAACGAAAAAGATGTAAAAGAGAAGATACATTTGTTTGAGCAAAAATTAGAAAACATTCGAGAAGCTGTTGTTAATGTACATAAAGAAGGTGAAATTTCTCCGAGTCTACAAAAGTCAAAAATTCCTAGTGCTCAAATCACTGATTGTGATGAAGATGAAGAAGTAAGGCGAGGAGGAGGTCAGATAGTGAAAAAAATGTTTATCTCTCAAACTGTTGCCCAAAAAGAAATTGGTCATATCGGGTCTTTGCCTCGATCCCTAAATGTCATTGAGAAACAAGTGGCCATTTTGACGGAGCTAAAAAATTGTCAAAACATAATAACATTGTAAGTTAGTTTCTTTCTGTTTTTTGTTAATTTAACCTAGTTACAAGTTTTTGTTATATGTTTGTTTTGAAACGTTGTAGTTACGGTACCATGCAGCGTGCCGGTAAACTGTACATCATTTCGGAATGGGCTGAAATAGGCGATCTTCACCAATACCTAAAGACTAACAAGAATTTGCCTTGGGAATTTAAATACAAGATTGCCTCTGAGATTGCAGGTGGCTTGGCTTTTTGCCATGTTTACGACATTTTGCACCACGACATTAGAAGGTTCATTCATAACACATTCTGCTTTACAATTGTTTTTTATTTACAACAGTAACTTTCTTTAACTTAATATATATATATATTCTACTGCCACGATCTTTCTAGTCACAACATATTGTTGACAGATAATTATACCGCCAAAATTAGCAACTTTAGTTCGGCTCGTAAGGAAACCGACGACACCACTCAGGTCAAGGATATCACCTTCAGATACAGGTAAGCTCATTCAAGCCTGAAGTTAGGCGCGTTTCATAGAGGGTGAGTTTGACATTTCTGTTTTTAACATAGATGGTTAGCTCCCGAGAAACTCGCAAATTATGGAGGGAACGAATACACCAAACAATGCGATATCTACAGGTAACCTAATTTTTATAAGAAAAATGAGGTCGTTGAATTCAAAGAAATCATCATAAAGTTCATTTATCTTGCAAACTTAGTTTCGGTATAGTACTTTGGGAACTAGCTTCACAAGAAGTACCATTTTCTAATGTTACGGTGACTACTGATTTGATTAACAAGATTACTGTTTTACACGAACGTCCTCCTCCCGTGCCGGGTACGCATCCCGCTTATGAGAAGATGATGACACAAGCGTGGCATCAAAGACCCATAAAACGTCCAACCGCGGACAATATTTTCAAGGAATTGAAGAACCTGAGAGCACCTGGCAGCAAAATATCTGGAGCAGAAAGTATTAGTCACTATGCTGCTCTCTCAGCGACTTATCGTTCGGGCAATTCTAGAGGCAGTTCACACTCGTATGAGTCCTCTATCTCCTCCATTTCTTCCAATCTTGATTCTAGAGATAGCACGTACTCCTATCCATCCTCTGTTAGCTCCGTCTCCTCCAATTTTACAGGAAGTGAATTACTGAATCCCTATGAAGATAATTCTAGCATTAATCACGATGAACAAATAGATTATGGCGCTGATTCTGGTCAAGTTATGCTCCAAATTCTACCTCCCATCCCACATGATTTCCCGGACGTAAGTGAAGCCAAAAAATTGCATAGTTTAAAGAAATATGAAGAAGCTTGGCCGATTTTCAAACTTCACGCTGATCACGGAAACGCCATCGCAGAATTTTATGTTGGCTACTATCTAATCGCAGGAGATCGTGGTGTTCCGCAGGACAAATCAATGGCAATAGAATATTTCCGTAGATCGGCCGAGAAAAATGTTCCGGATGCACAATTTAGGTACGGTGTGGCTCTTCTTAACGGCGAAGGAATTACCAAGAGCGCGATAAACGACAAAATTGCTATCGAAAATTTAGAAAAGGCCGCAAATCAAGGAAATCCCAACGCGATGTTTAATTTTGGGGATTTATTGATTAATGGGGCTCACGGCGTGACACAAGATTTGGAACAAGGTGCATTATGGATGAAAAAGGCACATCAAAAGGGTCATCCACATGCATATCAGAAGCTGGCTGATAGGTATAAGGCCCTGAATATGCCAGTTCCTGATGAAATAAAAGAAGGGATAAAGATTAGAGGACGATGTTGATTATATTTCGGGGTGCGACGTCTACCGTATGATTGTTGTAACTTTATCTTCCAGATCTATTTATTTAGTCATCTAGACATCTTGTATTTTATTTGTTTTTTTGATCTACAATTGTTCATTAAAAAAATCAAAATGGTGAAATTCCATCCCTTTGATAACTCGACATCCTAAACGGAATATTTATTAATTTAGCTGAGGTTTGTATATACGGTATGTACTATTACATAAATCTCAAAAAAAAAATTTGTAAAATTAATAAATTAAAAAAAAAAATTTTTTTTTTATGAAAAAAAGCTTCGCCTTCTGTCAGAACCGTATGAGTATATAATGTATATATTTATTATTATAATTAATCAGAGAAAAACAGATTGAAATGCTAATTGTCTATAAAGAAAAGGAAAATTTGCGCCGAAATACGATTGCCCGATCATGATAATTATAGTACACAATTTAAATACGCATTTTTTTTTTGTTTGTAGAAAAAAAAACTTTCTAATTGTGCTCATGATCCTCAGGCAATAAAGGTTGATTCTCGTTAGTCCGAGCCGCCGACGGTACGGTGAAACACGGTGGCGGCCTCATGACATTATTAAAAATAAAGGTTCCACAAATGAGAACAATGAATCCTATAAAAGGAATAAATCGAAAATCGACATTAAAATAACGAAATGCAATGACAAATATTTGTTTACCCAAACTCACCAATGACTTGTAACCAAGAGAATGCCTCCCACCCAAGAAACAAAGAAACTATCCAAATAAAGACGATTCTGCTGGTGTCAATCGTAGACCTAGCGGTAGCACTAATTCTCCTCGTAACACTGAGGCCAAAGAAATTGAAAAACGCTATCGAAAAGCATATTAAAATACCGGAAATCCAAATTTGTTTAAAACTAATAATTTGTTGAAATCCGGTTAGGACATCGAAGTATCCACCTGGATGTGATATACCAATTAGGAGATGCAACAACAACATGCCGCATATTACTGTCATTAAACCGAATATTCCTTCAAGCCCTACTGCTCGTAATGGCTTGACCCGAAATCTTTCCATGATTTTTTCTTCTATAACAAACTGTGCAGCAGTAAATATTTGTGCAAATAATACAAAGAACACTCCAATAATTGACTCAGTTGATTCTGTAGAAACAGTAGATGAAGTTATGACGATAGTGGTTGGATGATCTGACGACTTTAGTATTCTACTCGAATCCGTGGCATCGTACTTTTCGGTTGGAAAGAGGATACTACTCATACCGACAATAGACACACCTAATACTACGAGAAATAGAGAGAACCAATGATAGGGGTAGAGATTTTTTCGAAGGAATAGTACAGAGAATGTGCCAGTAAATAGGACCACAGCACCACGAAGCATTTGATAAACTGAGGCTGTTGTGTAGATTAGACCAACATTCATGAACTACAAGAAATCCAAAACTAGGTGAAATAACGTCACAAATTAAATTAGATTCCGAATAATTCGCTTCGATATCATTTATCATTTACATACCGTGGTACCCATGATGTCGCATAAAGTAGGTAACCAAAATAAAAGTACCTTCCAACCGGTCAAGTCTTCACTTGGACCAAGATACTCATCGGTTACCTCCACCTCTGAAACCTCCTGAGTCAAGGCGACTGGAGGTTCCAAGGGTTCATAAGTCTGTTTCGCCTTTCGACTTTCCCATAGCAAAGCAACATAACCGACTACAAAACACATTGTTTCACCAATGAACATGTTCAATGTTTGCCATACTGGTTGTTCGAAATATTCCGAGTTGGTCGGATCATCACAGTTGGAAATGCACTGCTTGTCCTGAAGTTTGTTAAGAATGGTGTTGCAAACACCACTGATTAACATGCCAGCTACTAGGAATTGGGTCGTTCCAAACATAGTGACAATCAATTAGATACAGGAACCGATGGTCAAAACACGAAAAATAAATACAGTAATTAATTCCAAAGATGAACCCTAATTCTTCACCCCGAAAATCATACCTCAATTTGTCGCACGATTGTTTACCAAGCCACCAAATTGTATCATTTATCCATCACTGGCTTTGTTTATAAAATATTGATGGGATAGAGCGAATCATATCTTAGTTTTGGACCCCCGGCAATTAAAAAAGACAATAGCTTTCACATAGCCCCACTCTAGTGATGTTCGATGAATTTTAGCATGGAAAGGCTTGTGGAATGTTTATGTTTACTCAACAAAAAAAACTGGCAAATCATCTGATCAAGAAAACATTCCCAATTAGTTAGTAAAGGGTTTTACTGGTAATTTATGACAAGTAAAATTTTTTGGGGGGATGAAGATCAATCGCAAATTACGTATCACATGATAGCGCGAAGTTATACAAATACGTAATATAGCACTTTGATTTCAAAAACGAATATTTTAATGCAATCTAAATGTACAATGATACCTGAATATATATTGTTACCATAACGATTCTTTCAGTTGCAAGCAATAAATTCACAATATTAGAATTCCATCAAACTTATATTATTATCATATATAAAACACAATGGTTAATTCAGAGAAGAGAAGAATATAGGATGGCATTTTAAATTTTTCAGGTTAACTAAAACAACAACTCCAGTCTCGGCAAAAGATGGTAATAAAATTATTCTTGTACGTTGCTTATCTGGCCCTGTTAAAAACAAATTATCAATTGTCTGATTAAAATCCAATAAATTTAAATATAAATGTGCTGTTACCCTCAATAGTACTTGTGGCGAACTCCTTCTGATTGGAGATAAAATATATATGAGGCGCTTGTGACATGATAAAAGGATCAACGTCTTGGAAAGGATAGCACCCTATTACCAAAGCCTCATTAAATTAGTTGTATTAAAATGATTAACATCTCAAGTAAATGATAAACTTACAAAGCGTATCCGGCGCCGTAGGGGCAATATGCCTCCAATGTAACGTTCGCTCCGCGAATTTGAGCCTATCTTCGCTGCTAACATATTTATATATGTCATCGATTGTTTGACCGGACGTACCGAGGAATCTATTCACGGAAAGGTTGAGGTCGAAAGTTCACAAAATCCTGAAAATTATGGCAAACTAACATACGTACACAACACCATCCAATTCACACCAGTAAGGATTTGTTACACTGTGAAAGGTTGAATGTTGGTTCGCTTTGGGCAAGAGGTTAGGTATTATGGGTTGTTGTGGCAAAGATGAATTAGTTGGATCATTGTTTCCTGGCATTAAATCAACAGGAACTGTCGAGCACAACTCATCAATAATATCATCCAATTCCAAACACAACTCTGCATTATACATAGAACCATCATATCCATATTTTTTCTACCGATCAACAATATTTTGATAATTAAACAAATATAAACCAATATCGATCAATTGTCATTTTGAAAACCTTTTACCTGCTTTCTGTCATCATCCATTATTTTAACTTCGGGTAAACTGTTGCCTGCAATTATTATCCGTGCTATTTTCGATGAAAAATTCTGTTCCTAAGAATGAAAGTGCCGTTACCTGGGATTCATATATAAAGATCTTTGTTCGATCTAACAAAATACTTATTATTCTTCTTACCGATAAACTTCCGATTTCACCTGTGAGGTATTCTATCATCATTTGCAACGGTAATGCGGATGCATTTTCTCCTACTTTCAATCCACATATAAGGGCAATATATTTGTCATCATCTTTATAAAAACATATTGAGTGTTATTTCATTTACAAACGGCAATTTAGCAAATAGCATCGAGTTGCTATTACCTATAGATTTTTGAATCGACTTTGCCTGATTTGGAAGTCCGGCGAAACACACATCATACACCTCGAACTCTCCTTCTGCATTTTCCTTTCCCAGAACTGCCATTATCACGCCTATAACGACGGCAGTCAGTTTTAGAATCAAAGGTTATAGAGCAAAATAAGGAAATTAAAAAAGAAATTCTTTGAACCCGTGACGATGATTTCTTGTTTCAATTTTTCTCCAGTTAATATAATCCTTCCTGATTCATCTTCTAGAAAAACCTTATCATCATCACTGCAATACTTTGAACGAGGTGATGGAGCAATATCCCAATGCTATAAACAAAATGAATTTGGGGTTAGATGCATCTTAGATGCAAAATTTGTTAAACCTTGTTTGCTCACTTCTTTGGTTACGTCATCAAGGATATTTGGTTTAAATTGCATATCCATGTAAACGGTCCCGATAACATAACAGGTCTCTCCGGATTTTACATCTAAAATTCTATCGACATGTTTTATTGCATGAGGTTCATCGGCTAATAGAAATACATTAACATATTAGCATATAACATCTTGTCATATTCAGACTGAAAATACTTCACTCGTTCTTTCCTGTGATGTAACATTCCATCTTTTTTGCGCTGCCATCAACACGACAGGTCTCATTTCCACCAGTCTCACAAAATATAAATTCGCGAATTGTTGACGGAACGACTTTTCCCTGATAATTAATTTATCGCGAAACTCGGGCATGTCGTTGTAAGAAACATCTGCGTGATGAGATGTCGATATACTATCGATGGAAACTGAATCGACAGACGACAAAAAGTGGTCGGCGCGACTAACAAAATAATTTAATTTAAATCAGTTATGGAATATCAAATTTGGTATCGACAAATTCATGTTAACCATTACATCTCCGAAACCGATAAGTTATCAAGAGTTAGAGTTTCCAAGTCATGCATGCTTTCCATGTTCAAAATTGATGTTATAGCTAACCAAAACCATGAAGACGCGGAACTCGAATATTACGTGTAGTCAAATACACGTTCGATGCAGATTGTAGATCATACTTGCTCTTAATGGTATCGTCTAAACTGTCGGATACTTTGATGGGATATATTAAATTCTGATTATTTTAAAAACTTTTTTAATTAAAAAAAAACATTATACATTAGAAGTTGATTATAATAACATATTATACATCTAAATGGTCTTACACATGCTAATATTCTTATTAACTATAAATTTAACTATATAAACTTATAATAACTTTGATTAAAAAAGAGTTTTATATAATATTTTTCAAATTTTAAATATAAAACTTTTTTTTTAAAAAAAGATATTAAAACCTTAATTTAAAATAGTATTGCTTATAATTTTACCGAATAAAAATATAATAAAATCTTTTTAAATAAATGTATTTACTATTTTTAATTATTAATTAAAATATTTATAACAAGATTTATTATTTAATTATATAATTTTAGTTTTTATTGGTATTTCTTAAATTGTTTTACAAGCAAATTTGTTTACAAAATTAAATAATATAGAATATGTATATTTATCTTATAAAAATATTAATAAATCTTTAAATAATAAAAATATCTTTAAGAATTTATTTTATAAACCTTATTATAAAATTTTTTAAAAATAAAAAAAAATTTTTTTAGTTTAAATTTTTTAAAAAAATCAATATATTTTTATTTTATAAGTATTTAAAATTTTTTTACTAATAATAATTAAACCTTTTAAAAAAATATAATTATTATTATTATTTTGTTCTAATTTAAGCCATTTTAAAAAATTTACACTAAATTATAAAGAAACAATATATTTGTACTAAGTATTTTAAATTAAAAAAAATCAAATTAATTTAAAAAAGAACTATTATCTAACTATTTTAAAAAATAAAATATTGAAAAATCAATTTTAAATATTATTATAAAAAGTTATTATTAGTTCAAAATAAATTAAAATATTTAAAATATATATTAATATATAATTTGTATCAATAAAACAAATCAAACAACTACTCCTAATCACATCCGTTTTGTTAAAAATTTTCCTTTTATGGTAATTTTAAGCAAGAAAAAATGTTTTACTCTCTTTATCACAAGTAAGCCTTAGCTTAGGAACTTAAAAACCTTCAAAACAATTGGTACAGTGGGATGGAACCTCTGGTCAAAGTTTACTCAAGTTTGGAAGTCTTGTTTATCCTTCGGTTATATGGAAAAAGGCCTATGGCAGTTCTCTATTCTTTTGTTCTCTTGTATACCTTCTTACCCTTATTTTATCATAAAAACCATCTACATTATCACTATCATACTCGTTAAATCAAATACTTTCCAAAACACATACTTAAATAAAGTTATTGCATCTACTGTTTGTTTTAATACAATCTTTATATACAACTCTATTATAGTGATATTTACTATGTTACTTCAAAATCTCTAAAATTTTTTGTTCAAAAAACTGAAATCAGTTTATCCCCTTTAGATAATCAATACTCTCCAATCATTCAATCAGATTTTGTCTAAAAATTAAAACAAATATCAAACTTGTTTAAACTGGTTTTATATTACAATAACAATAATCATAACAATAATGTCAATCACACCACTACTAACAATTATAACAATAAACAACATCACATATACTTTACTATCTATGGTAACCAAAAAGCCAAATAGATGGGATAACAAGCCTGTCTAAGAATTCTTTTGAGGAAATAATTGGTTTTCTACTTATAGATTTTATAATTTACTTCACTTAGTTTTAGTTCTAGTTATATTTATTTTTTTCTCTCTTTTAATTACTATAATTACAAATTTATAAAAGACTTTGTAAAATTTTCTAAGTAGATAGGCATAGCTGCTATTTAGACATAGCTAATATATTATAGTATTGTTTTGAATTTCTTTTTCAATATTAGCTAAATGTGTTTATATAGGCAAGCTAGCATTTAACTTGCTACTTATGTACGTAAGTGATGTTATTTCTTTCACAATATATACTATGTTATATATAATATCAAATAAAGAAATGATGTTTACCTATAAGAGAAAACTCCTTCAAAAAAAAAACAAATCAAACAACTACAATTTGTTAAATTACTTTAATTTTTATAAATATTGATTTACAAATAAAAAAAAATAATATTATTATTATATTTGTTAATTGATAAAGAAAATTTATTTTTAATTAATATATATTATTACTATTATTTCAAAAGTTATCTAAATATTTTTTTTAAAGATTCTTAAACATTATATATTATAATAAATTATTATATTAAATCAAAATATAAGATTTATTAGTTATTTTTAATAAGTTTTATTTTAATAACTAAATATAAAAATTACTATATTAATAATTTTTTATCTTCAAACAAATAAATAAATTAAATATTTTAATAAAATTTTGAAAAAAAGATATTATATATATATACATATATATATCTGTTATAAACAAAATCAATAAAATAAGAATTTGTAACCTGTAGGTCCATAGTGCAGTAGTTAGCACTCCACAGGTCAGATCACAAGATACTGGTTCAATTCTAGGTGAAAGCGATTGAACAGTTCCATATGGTATCTGGCAACGTAACCTGTTATGTTCTGTTTCTCATGCGAAACCATTTCATATGTTAATCCAGTGGGTGTTGAGATTGTGTTCTCCAAAAAAGGTGTTGTGTAGTGTTGATCGTCTGGTTGGTATTACGATAATCGATATTGCGCTTGGTACATTTTCCAGTTCCATATTGGTCACTTCTTCCCCTATAGTCCACGAGACTATAAAAGAAAAAAACCTGTTAACTCTATTAGGTAACTAATGATCACTTTTGAATTGAAATTTTACAGGACATGCTTAGAGATTCATGGCCACTTTACAGGAGTTGTGCCCTGCTTGGTATTCTTATCCCTAGATTTGGTAGCCTAAGCCAACTAAGAAACCTATCAGAGTGTTTACTGAAAAAGTAAGGAGTAATCCTTAAGGAGTCACGTCCTACTTGGCCAGCAACCGAGCCTCCAGATTTGGTAGTGTGTGCCAACCATAGAAAAACTCTTAGAGCATTTATTAGGAAGTGTAAAGAAGTAAGTTCCATGATATTAGGCATGTGTATTGTTAGGTTGAGTGATAGGAGATCCTAGTGATAGCTAATAAGTAAAAAATACAAAACAAAAAGCTCTCTGAAGTTCACACTCAGGTATGAACCCACCTCTATGGTGCAAGTTGATACTTGGGTTAGAATAAGGATGATGTATCAGTTAAACATAGACTATTCATATAATGGTTAATTGTAATCTATAAAAACTTACAATAAAAATTCTTGCGTGTATTGTACCTTAGCCCTTAAAAAAAAAATATAATAAAATAAAATAAGAATTTGTTTATTATAAATATCTCTTGAATTTATACTATTTGAATTGGATTATAAATAATATTTAAAGACACTTTTGATTTTTACAAACTTAATATATATTAGGGCTCTAAAAAAATTAAATTAATTCAAGCTAGTTTAATATAAAACTCAAAAAAGTCGAGTTTGAATTTTATTTTTATAATATAAGTTAAATTTGAATTAAAATTTTAAAAGCTTGATTTGCAAGCTATATATTATATAAGAAAAATAAAATAGTATAATTAAATTAAATAAATAATATATTATTGGTTTTAATTTTAAATTATTATTTATTATTATTATTTTTAAAAAGAGCAAATAGCTATCATATTTTATTATATTTATTATACTTTTATTTGCAAAACAAAATATAATATTAATAGTACAACATATATTTCTTTTTGCTAGAAAAAGTTTAATGCAAGGCTCTCAAAAGAAACCCAATCTTTGTACTCTTTTGGTACCATTCAAAAAATATAGAAAAAAAAAAATTCAAAAATCTATATTATTATCTTGAATAGTGTCTAGTTATTTAAAAATAAATGAATATCTAATCATATAAAGGTGCTGCAGCCAATCTATACAGGTTAATCTTCAAGTTATAATTAGAATTAACATGCCTGCTTTTCAAATATAACTTGATATACAGCAAGCAGAGTAGTATTGAAGGTGATGAGAAGTAAATATCTTTTTGTATAAATATGCTGCAGTCATTTTATACAGATTTGCTTTCAAGTCACAAAAAGAATTTAACATATTCATGCTTTAAATATAACAGAAGTGTTCTATGGATAGAGTTTATATTGATTTTTTTAATGTATCAAAACCTAATCTTATATAATAGACCTACATTGTTTAAAAGGTAATCAAGAAACTTTTATTATTGTTACCAGTTTGTTTTCAAGAATAATTAGAATCTTTAATTATTACTTATTACTCTACTAAGTTCTCTAATCATCAGTATAACACCTGTAATCAACCTAGCTTATTGTTAACTATATTGGTATTGGCTGCTATTTCACTTTAGATATTGTAAGGCACAACTTCTTGAATACTTTCAAATAATAATAGTTGTACAGAGGTTTCTTGGACATATCTAGTTTAACTATCAATTAATAAACAATATCAAGTTTGGTAATAATAACTATATCGATTTTTTGGAAAAGATAAACCATCTGTTCTTTTTCTAAAGAATCATAAAAGAGATAAAATTTTCAGAAGCTTATATTCTAAAAAAGATTATTGTTTCTTAATATAATTCTTGAAAGAAGTGAGTTGACTGGCTAAAGGAATAATATTATGAAAATGGAGTTTTCAAAAAAGAGAAAGACCTAGAGAGAAAAATCTTTAAGTAAAAAAGAAAACCTAGCTTCAATAAATAAAAAAAAGGAAAAGAGGAAGGAAAGAGATATAAAATATAAAAGAGAAAACCTAGCTTCAATAGAAAAAAAAAGAGAAAAGAGGAAGAAAAGAGATATAAGATGTAAAAAATATATATAGAAGAGAGAGGAAAAGATAGAGAGAGGAAAATAAAGTAATATGGAAAAGAGAACATAAAAAAAAAGGAAG